AACATTATAAAGTAGATTAAGTAAAAATGGTGATTTGCTTGCATAAAATGATGTAATATTACTAAAGTCTAGTAAGTAAATAATAGTAATAATATAAATATATAAAGTGAATTTATGATATAAGGATTAATGCAAATTGGAAAGGAAAGACTGCAGAGATTGTGCACAAGTGATTTGAACCAACTGACACGCTGTATGTAACTGAAGATGGTTTATGTTTTATGTTTGTTTTGTTTATATTTGTGTTTAAAAAAAATAAAAAACTTTTATTTTAAAAAAGTCCATTTATCTATGCATGCAGGTTTTTGTTACATTGCTGTTGTTATATATTGATTTAAGCTGAAACATAACTGTTTTTTAAAAACAATTTTATTGATTTTCAAAGACAATACACAAACAAATAAAATATAAAAACATAGAACATCTTTTCTGAAAGCTGCTTGATCCCGGGTTACAACTCTTCGTACAGACACAAATTCAAATTCATATTCATTTTATATACCATTCCATATCTTATTACCATTTTCAATTTTCTATATAACTTCTCACCTCTTTTAAATTTCTTAGTTTTATTTTATTTATCTCATCTCAGTTCAGATCATAATACTTATTATTCTTTGTTCTGTTTCCAGTTATCCATTTATCTTTTCTCTTTAAACAAAACTCCTATACACTGATTGGAGTATGACGCCTTTAACTCTTTCCCCTAAATTTATAATACTTAATATAATACATAACTTGCATTGGGATTCTGTTTAGTACATTCTAAAATTACACAATGTTTTTTATAGAAAAAAAAATTATAGGTATATGATGTAATTAAAACAACTATCAATGCCAATACAAATCTAATCATTAATATTAATATTCATTTATATCTTAAACACTTTACACGTTACTTTTCAATTAAATATCATACTTTTATGGGAACACTTATACTTTCCATAGTTATTTCCTCCCCACATCACATGTTTTAAATCATTATTTCATTAAAATGTTCCCACTTCTCCTACTTCAATTCTCTCATTTATTTCATTACCTTCTTTTTCTTCACAAAAATTTCACTAAATTACACTAAATATTTTATCCCATTTTTGATTACATGTTGTTTCCAATTTTCTAACATTATTTCTGAATACAAATATAAGAATACAATCTTATGTACCTTTGCAGAATCCCTTTTTCAGTTAAGTTTACCCATTGTCTGTAAAAGAATTTTGTTTCTTTACATCTTGCTCCCCACCATTGAGGCTTCTCATCCCTTCCTTTCTCCCTTGCTTATTCTTCTCCTTGCCCTTTTTACCCCCTTGTCTCTCCACCTCCCTTTTCTTCTTCTGCTTTCCCCCTTTCTGTTGTTTTCTAACATTGTATCCACTTTTCACCTTATTTTTCTCTTTTTTGGTTGTTTTTTCAAATCTTAAAGTCCCCTTTTTCTTTTCCTCTTTCTCCTTTCCTTCCCCAAATAGAGTCACTTGTTCATCAAAGATGGTTTCTTCTTTATCCCAGTCATCCTGTTGCACAGTCAGCTTTTCATAAGTACAAACCGCCATTTCTAAAAATTGAAAAAGAGTGCCAAGAGAATCTTTCCCTTCTTGTTCTTCTTTTTTGTATTTTTTGTATTCAATTTTCAATTCATCCACAAGTGATGCCATTGTAGAGAGAAAAAGTTTTTCCAAAACAACCACCCAAGTGCTTTTAATCAAAGATAGTTCCCAAAAGTTCAAAAATCACCAAACAATCCAAATAAGCTGTTTCTTTTAATACTTTCTTCTTTCTTCCCTTTCTCTTTCTGGGGTTACTGTTTAGTCACAAAGTTCCAGTTAAAATGTATCTTTTAGGAGTCTTGTTAATATTTAATAGCTCTTTAAAATTCTAGGCAATCTCCTCCTTACTTTCAAATTCTGCTCCATTTTTTTTCCTCTCCCTTCCCACTTACAGCAAAAAAGGTTTTTGTTTTTTTTAATGTTCAGAAATCCTTATCCCTTTAGCATTTAATTACCTCCAATGCGGGTTTTCTGATTTCTCTTGCGGTTCTATTCGCTGTCACGTTAGGAAGGAGAGTGAAAAGAAAGAAAAACTTTCCCTTTTAAACTTCCATTCGCCGCTTGTAAACCATGTATCTTTGGCAAATTTTAAGTTCCAGGGTACTTTCGCTGTCATTTTATCAAGGTCGGCAAAAAACACTTTCACTTCTTCACAGCTCCTCCTGCACTTTCTTTTTCCGGCTGAGCGCTTCTATGTGGCGGCCATTTCTGACCACCGCTCAGCTGCCTTTGGAAAAGGGGGTTTAGCCAGCTAAGGAAGAGAGGTGCGATATCTCTCGACCCTGCCAGGTCCCCCCTGTCTTCGCCACCTTCTACGGAGGTGGCTAGCCCTGAAGCCGGGTGGCTCAGGGCACTCGGGCAGCGAGCACAGGCAGAAACTGCGCACAGTCGTGGATTCCTGCCTGCCCCGAAGCGCTGCAGACCGGAACTCCCCTGAAACATAACTGTTGAGGTAATTCCCTGTTTGGAGAATGAGTGCACACAGGGAGACGTAGTGAGAGTAATGTTGAATAACACGCACACAGCTAAACTGTATAGTAAAATGTAGGTTTTACTTCCAGTAAACAGTTAAGCAAAGTCCAACAATAAATACATAAATACATAAATAAAAATTATTTTACTATTCATCTTGATGTTTGTTTCTCCTTTGCTTTTTCCTATTAAGAAAAAGCAAAGCAGAAACAAGTATCAATATATAACAGCAATGTAACATTTTGTTTCCATTTATGCATCATGTAGGTTTTCAGTAGGTCTACTGTTTTTATCATTCATAAAAACAAAATCCATAATTTTTAATAATATTTTTATGTATGTTTGTAGGCAGAGCACATGCGCTATAAGTAGAGGTGGGGCAGGGTGGGTGGGGGAGAAGGCAGTCAGCTATTGTCGCGCATGTGCAATAATGGTTGATTGAGCTGGGAATTGCGGAGCAGGGCTGGGGGCAGGGAGAATGCCGTCCCCGATCATTGAGCATGCTCGCAATGTCACGCATGCGCAATAATGAATAACTGGGTCATGAAGGGAGGGGCAGGTGGGGAGAATGAGGCAAGGATTGTTGCGCATGCACAAAAAATGCCACGCATGTGCAGTAAAAAACCTGGTTTTTGGAGTGGAGGAGCAGCGGAGAGGGGTGGGGCCAGACAGGGATCCATTTTACCGGTTCTTAGAACTACCAGTGACTTTAACAACAGGTTCTATAGAACTGGTGTGAACTGGTAGAATCCCACCCTTGCAGCTACCCATTCAGCTTCAAAGGATTGGGGAAGTATTAGAGTTTGCCCCTATGAAAACAAGAATCCAAAATATTATTTACTTCAAAATGTTGTTCGCCATCATTTTGCTGGGTGGGCATGGTGGGTGTGGCCTGGTCAGCCTCCTTCAACGTGGTGGGGAGGGGGGTGTTTTTGCCCTCCCCAGGCTCCAGAGGCTTTTCTCGAGCCTCCGGGAGGGCAAAAATGGCTTCCCCAGGCTCCGGAGGCTCTCTGGAAGCCAGCCTTCCCAAACTTCCAGGAGGCCTGTTTTTTCTCCCCCCCAAGCATCCACGCAGACCCTGCACTTACCTGCATCCAAAATGGGCTGGGTGGGGACTGCTGAGAGGGGCAGGGTGAGGTGGGCAGGGCCAGCCAGGAGTGACATTTGGGTGTTCTCTGAACTGCACAGAATCTTAGCTAGGGGCTCCCCCAAACCCCTGCGAACCCCCAGCAGCCCACCACTGGATTTGGGCCAGTTTAAGAAGACTGCAGTGGAAAATAGAGTGTACCTTCTAAGGTTTTTTGGCAACTTAACTTCAACCATCACTGGTCATGGCTACAAAGTCTCTGCAACTCTTGCAACTTGGAAAGAGGCAAAGCCAATGCTGCTATGTACTGAATTGTTATATGCTACTTCTGCAAATGGGAGCAGGTCGGTTCAATTATCTTGCTGATAATTGATATAACATCTGTTCCAATCCACTATTGGCATGTTCAAAGGCCCTGTTAGTCTAAGGATGGTACAAGGACCTAAATCCTTGGGTTGTCCCTAGTAGTTTCAAAAACTTTTGCCAGATTTGGGAGGCGAACTGCACCCCTCAATTGGAGGTAATCCTTTAGGAGGGATGACCTTGAAGGAATGTTTTGAGGAAGTACGGTCTCAATTCCCCAAGCATCCTCCTTCTCATTCCAGTTCATGCATAACAGTGAAGCACAGCAAATATAAGGTGACAGCTGACAGTGGGGTTATTGTCTTCTATTTTCCCCCCTATATATTATGGTTTTTATTGTTTGTAAGCCTCCTAGAGTCACTGTCAGCAAGTAGACAGCTATATAAATTTTGTAAATAAATTGTGTAAGGAGCTTTTTCTTTAAATGATGATTGTGACTTGGGTTTATTGCTGAGAGCACAAGATGTAGAAATCCAGTTCAGTGTTGTGTCCATCTGGGGATGTCCATGAAGGTTGTTCATTTAAAGTCTTTGGAATCTGTTGTCAATCATGTTTTCAATTAATGTATGCATCTTGTTTCCTGTCTTGAAAATATTCCTTAAGCAATGAAAAAAATCTCAAGGTCCCCATAGAGTTGTATATTTTTTGAATGTTTATTTCAGCCCCACTAAGTAGACCAGACCAGATAATCAATTCCACAGTAAGGATGAAACTATTTTTTAAAGACTGGCTGTAATAATAGAACCTTGAAAGTCTTACCATGTAGCCAACCAAGTCCACCAATTGCAAGGGAAGATGGTCCTGCCTTATTTTCATTTCAAGTAAACTACAACAACACAGTTTTAGTCCACAAAATTATTCAAGGTCATAGAGTTGGCCTCCTAGAGAGCCAGTTGAGAAGCATTGCCTACAATACACTTTTTATTATTTCCAAAAAGAACACCTAGCCAACTTAACTGGCATTTCCATCATGTTAAACAGTCTTCTCCATGTTAACCTTATTTGTGTGTGTGTGTATATGTGCCTGTATTTAGGATGCCTTTACAGCTTTCCACAAGGATAAGGACCTGGTAAAGAAATATTTGAATTTCCTCCTAATTGGAGAACTTGCTCCAGATCAACCGTGCTGTGAGCCCACCAAAAATGTGAGTATTGGGTGATCTCAGCTGTTGTATTCCTTTTGCAGAACCTTTATTTTAGAGTTAGGCATACATGTGTATGTATGTATGTATGTATGTATGTATGTATATATATATATATATATATATTTGTTTTCTGAGGTTCTCGCGGGTATTTGTATGTGGATCTTTGGTTATTCGGGTTTTCTCCCGCGTAAGATTGGAAGTATCTAGGCAATGTTTCGATGAAGTCTCATTCATCATCTTCAGGC